TAACACATTTTTGAGAGGAAGAGTTGGTAGATGGGATGAGTAGGTGGAGTGAACCTCATTCCAGGAGAATCCGTAGTAGGTAGGGCTTGAAGACAGCTTTCACATATTTAACAAATTTAACCACAGCAGAGAAGGCTCTTTTTAGTCCTACCTTTATAACCAGATATTGAATTATAATGTGGCTCTTATATTCAAATACATGCCTATGCCTACTTTTACATACTTGGTGTAGTTATGACTTTTTAGTGTTTCTTGGAAGTGCATTCTATAGGAAAACATATATATTATAGTAGCTGATAGAAGGGATTGGTTATTTTATCAGGCCATTTATGCATTGCTATAAAGAAATACCTGAGACTGGGTAATTTATAAAGGTTTAACTGGTTCAAGCACTCACTGCTGGCTGTACAAGCATGGGGCTACATCACACGGTTTCTAGGGAGACCTCAGATAACTTTCACACACGGTGGAAGGTGAAGCCAGAGTAGGCGCTTAACATGGTGAAAGTAGGAACAAGACAAGAGAGAGAGTGAGTGGGGCAGGGGTGCCACATGCCTTTAAAAGAGCAGATCTCAGGAGAACTCACTGTCATGAAGGCAGCATCAGGCCATGAGGGATCTGCCCCCATGATCCAAACACCTCCCACCAGACCCTACCTCCAGCATTGGTGATTACAATTCAACAGATTTGGGTGGGGGATAAATATCCAAACAATATCAATTATTCAATTTTATATTTGTGTTACTGGTAAATAAGTTACTGTTGGAGTAATTTTCTGTTATAAATTTTACCGAAGTGATAAATTTTAGGGATATGTTAATTTTCAACTTTTGCTCTTCAGTATTTAATAATATTTTATGTATTTTATAACATTTTTAATAAGCATTATTTTAAGTATTTAATAATGTTTGCAATTGACGTTATGAGAAATCAGGAAAGTATATAAACATAGGTTGCATTCAATAAGTAAAGAGCTTTATAGAATAGCAAGAATTTGATTAATTGATCAAATTTTTTTCTTTTTGCTAGAAATTGTAGAATTAATAGGATCTAATAAGATGTAATAATTCAATAAGTTGAAATTGAATCAAATTTCAGATAAGCAATTATAGTAATGAAGAAAAACTAAATCCTGCTCAAGTACTTTTTTTTTTAGTATAAATGAATTACCTTTTACTTTTTTTTTTTTTTTGAGACGGAGTCTAGCTCTGTCGCCCAGGCTGGAGTGCAGTGGCGGGATCTCGGCTCACTGCAAGCTCAGCCTTCTGGGTTCACACCATTCTCATGCCTCAGCCTCCCGAGTAGCTGGGACTACAGGCGCCTGCCACCTCGCCCGGCTAATTTTTTGTATTTTTAGTAGAGACGGAGTTTCACCGTGTTAGCCAGGAATGTCTCACATCCGGACCTCGTGATCCGCCCACCTCCGCCTTCCAAAGTGCTGGGATTACAGGCTTGAGCCACCGCGACCAGCCTACCTTTTACTTTTTTATGCTTAGTCTTATTTTATCATATTCTCTAAGTGTTTCTATGGGCAGTATATATTCTATTTATTTGTGTATTCTGTTAATAGATATAACATGTAGAATATAGTACACGTTTAAAATAGATTTTATGAAAAACACATGGCGCTTACTTTAATGAGCATTGCACAAAGGCTGTGATAAAATAAATATAGCATATAAAACAACTTGGAATCAGCATGCATGTTTTTATGTATATTTTATTTATTTCATTGTAGATTTATACTAAAGTTCACCCTAATGATCTTTACTACTTAAAAGGTTTAGCTAGAAGATTTATTTGACAAATATTTATAAGCTCCTACAGGGTGCCAATTACTAAGCAAGGAGTAGGATATAAAATAGTAAAAACAAAACAAAACAAAACAAAATTTTTATGAATCTTAAAAACTAGCAACTGATAAAATTTTAAATAAGTGAGCATTTCTTTATGCATTGCTATAAAGAAATACCTGAGACTGAGTAATTTATAAAGGTTTAACTGGCTCAAGCACTCACTGCTGGCTGTACAAGCATGGGCCAACATCACTTGGTTTCTAGGGAGACCTCAGATAACTTTCACACATGGTGTAAGGTGAAGCCAGAGCAGGGGCTTCACATAGTGAAAGTAGGAGCAAGACAAGAGAGTGAGTGGGGCAGGGGTGCCACATGCCTTTAAAGGAGCAGAGCTCCTTCAAAGTGAGCATGCAAAGGAAGATATGATTATAAATTGTGATAAGGATTGTAATGGAAAAGTAAAAACATAGGAGAAAGGGTAAAAGGACCAACTTTATGTCAAATCAAGAAGTATCTTGTAGGAAGTAATATTCAAATTGTGATCTGAAGGATAGATAAAAACTTCTAGAACACAGGGCAGAGACTCAATTGGTTAGTTATTGGCCAAGATAATAAATGTTTATCTGATTTTAGATGAAAAATCATTTTAGGTAGAGGAGTGCATAATCCCATTATACTTTTACAAGATTACCTTGTCTGCCTTGTGGGAAATGGACTTAGACTTGGATGGAGTCATTTGTGTGTATGTGTGTGTGTGTGATGAAGACCATCTCTGGATGGATTGAATGGGGGTGGTGAGGGAGATAGAGGCTTTAAGAATGTCCCCTAGTTTGGGAACATGAGTAAATGAAAACGAATTTTGCCTTCATTGAGATCAAAAAGTGAAATAAGGAACAAGGTGATGGAAGGATCAGAAGTGACAGGTAGGTAGGTAGGTAGCTAGGTAGGTAGGTAGAGAGAGAGAGAGACAGATAGATAGATAGATAGGTAGATAGAGATAGATGGATAATTTAAGTTAGTGTCATTGCTACATAAATGGTATTTGAAACAATAGGAATAAAATATATCATCTTGAGAACAGAAAAGTATTGAGCGCTGAGCTATGAGAAATTTCATCAGTCAGTAGTTAGAGAATTAGGAAAGAAAGAGAAAAAAGGTGGAGGGATAGGAGAAGATAAACAGCAGATGGTGGAGTGGGCAAAGCTAGAGAGAAAAAAGAGGAATAGGCAAGATACAAAAAAAAGAAGGAGATTCAAATATAACATAGACAAATCGTGTAAAATGAGCACAGAAAAGTGTTTGTGATTTGACAGACGCAGAGGTTATTGGTGGTCTTAGAAACTGTAGCTTTTGGAGTTGTAAGGGGGGATAAGAATTTTGGACATGAATGAGAGAATAGAAAGTAGATATCTTGAAGGAGATGTGTATTTGGCTGTTTTATCTTAAAATGAGAGTCACTGTAGGATATTTGCATGTTGTAATATTCTATTAGAGAAGAATGCTGAAGATTCAGGAGAAAGAAGCCTTTGAGAAAACATAAGGTAGAAGGAAGGGAATGGGCTCCAGAACACAGATGGTTATATGGACTTTTAATAGGAAGAGAGATATCTTCACTGTTTATAATGAATAAGATAATAGAAACAATAGTTTCAGAACCATGTAGATTTACAGACTTGGGATAAAATATGAAGGAGTTTCAAATGTCTTTTATTTTCTCAATGAAATGTGATGCAAGGTTTCATTGGAATTTATACAAGGGCATTCAGTTACTAAAGTAATGGAAAAACATAATTATGAGAAAGTTTGCCCAGGGTCCATCTTGCATGCATTCCAAGTCAGTAACACTCACAGAAGTGAAAACTCCAGGGTTTTTGTTTCATTTTGTCTTGGATTTAACCTCTTTGCTCAGATACTGATATTTTATTTAAACTCAATACTTATAACTTGTCAAAACAAAACAAAACAAACATCATGTCTTTCTTTGCCACCCAAATTTGGATATTCAGCACTAGAATAAAAGATAATTTTGTGTTGTTCCTTATAAATAAAATGTATATTCTTTATAAATACAAATGTATATGATTTTTTGCCTTCATAACTTTATGTATGTATATACCTATGTAACTGTATATAAATATATATGTGATTTTTGGCCTTAACTCAATACATTTGCATATATAAATATACATATATTCATATATACATATATACATACATTTATGTACATATATATGAAGTTAAGGCCAAAAATCATATACATTTACATATAGTTACATATGTATATTATATGTATTCTTATGAAATTACATATTATACAATTATATATAATATACATATTCTTATAGAACATAAGTAGCATAAACTAAGAAAAGAAGCGATCCATATATAAATCCATATATAAATCTATGATCTATAATTCACATACTTCTACAAAAGAAGTCTGAATAATTGTATTTGGTAGCCTATGTAGAAGAACTGAAATAGGAACATATGTGAATCTCTCATAATAAATTTTACATTTTAAACACATATATCTGCACAATAGGTACCTTTAAGAAACTTGTAAAATAGCACACTAATGAATAGTATCTATTTTTCTTGCAGTCATGCAGAAATTGCAATTGCTTTTATTTTGCAGATGGGTAATAGTAAGCAAGGAGAAAAAGCAGTGTTTTTTTTTTTTTCAATTTTAGTTTGCAGAGTTACTTCACCCTAAATACCTTACAAGATCTATCTGAAAATTATCATTTAAATTGGCTCCTGAATTTCAGCATCTGAACATAATTCTCCTATTTTCTTACGGTCAGTGACAGCAACAATAACAGCAACAACAAAACTCCAAACTAACAAAAATTATAATTCAAGATGATAACAAACTATCAATAACCTGAAACTATACATTGAAAACATAATTTCTATTATCTGGTAAATTAATCTTTACTATGTCTAATTAAACAGTTGAAAATTTTAGTGTTTCTTTTCACTTATGAAAGGCTTTAAAGTATTTTAAAGGATATAAAACAGGTAAGAAAAACTATTTAGCAAATTTTCAGTTAACATTATTAACATCCGTCTGCACTATGTACTTCCTCTAAATACTACATTTTTGCCTTTAAAATCAGCATTCTTTTAATTGCCTCATAGCTGTTTTCCATACGAAATCTGGTGGGATAGAGCAATTCCAGTGAGGAGATCAGATTTTACCAGAAGCACCATTTCCCAGCACTCTTTTCTGGTAGAAGCTGGGTTCCTGGTGGAAATGATGCTGCTATTAGAATGATCTGAAGTACTCTGGAGAGAGACCTTCTGCTCAGTTACCATTCAAGCTGGAACCTGCTATGACAGTTGTCAACAGTGCCCTTTCTGATGTCTCCCAGTTGTGTTCCATTTAGAATAAGTACTTAAAGAGACACCTGCTAGGAAAGCCAGAATAGAGAAGCTGCATGATTCTGGCAAACATATGTAGACAATAATATCCCTTTCCTACCTTGGGCAATAACTTAATAAAGCCTTTAAGACAACAGAATCTTAAGTAGTCATCCTTTTTGTTGTTGATGAGAAGGAGGGATATGGATACCAGCATCAAAACTTTCTTTGTGTGCCTACAGCTGTGATCTGGGCACTACCAAGTTATCCTGCTGCTATGACTCTCCAGCCATATGCTGCCGTTTATAGTACAGCCTATGATTCAGGCTGCAATGCTTGTGAAATTGGCATAAAGTCTGTCATCACTGTACTCTAAACACCCTGCAAGCCAGATTTTTCTTCTTCCTATGAAAATTAGACAAGATCCCCCAAATGTCAAGCATATAGATGGTATATATTCTAAATATATAAAGGTGTACCATTCAAGAAGAGCAAAATATTATTTATTAATATCACCAAGGAAGAACTATAAAGATAATGCATTAAGAGAATGAGAAATAAAATGACCCAACCCAAACCTGTTAAAGGTTTCTGGTAAATAAGGAAAATCATTTAAAGATGATGGACTAAGTGTTTGGATCACTGGGATGTGGAGCAGTGGTCTGCTTTTCAACATTAGTGTTTAAATGGAAAACAAAAAATGTAAAATTAGTTTCAATTCCAGAAGCCTGATTTTATTATTTTGTCTTTATCCTCAGGAATTAAACAATGAAAACATGATAATAAAGATGGTCCTATGGATAAAAACAAAGGTAAAATAAACTCTCTGCACTTTCCCAAACATCAGATTTATCATTTTTTTTTTTCTTACTTGATTACAGATAAAGTGTAATATCCTGAACTAGATACAGGTCATACAAATGACAAATTACAGTTTGTATCTGTTTTTCCCATCTACCCTGACTTCCAGCTAAAGGTACTTTTTCTGATCCTAGCACTACCTGCCTTGCCTAAATATTGATTCTGTTGTTCATATTGGTCTTGAGCCTTGTTAGGTTTATGGAACTGCTACTTACAGTAAGATATTGTAAGTATGGTAATAAGGTATCTGTCTTATGGAGGGTGATCTACAGTTTATTTATGAAAAGTAATTTGAAACTCAAAGCTCAGATAATCCTCAAACCATACCCATATGAAAGGTGCCCAGTATAACTTTAAATACATCTCCAGTTTGTGTGTTCTTTGGATTGACTACGTTACATAGACTACTACCATATCTTCTATACATTTCTATTAATTATTTAAAATGAATAATAAATATTTTTCCTCCAATATTTAAAACTAAAATAAATAATTGCATGCAACTGAAAAATAATTTGCCAATGAGGGGATTTTAGAATTGAAGAATATCAGTTAGATGGATTGCAGGAGAAAGTAGGCAGCAGACACTTTGTGTATTTTTTTCCTCAAAGGACAGAGGGACTGTCTCCTGTCTTACTTTGTACATGCCCTATCTTTCAACAGAAATATTTTCTTGAAGGCCCTATTTTTCTCTACCAATTTCACCTTCTTATCCTTTCTTTAAAAACGTAGCAAAATTCACCTCTTATAGACTGTTTTCTGTGACTGTATCTCACTGATTACTGAATTGCTCTTCCACAGTTTTATTTAGAAGTGTGTTACTTTCCATTCATTGTAAAGTTCCTCTTGGAGGGGGATAATATTATAGCAGTTAGTGTATATATATATTGCCTCTTACCATATTTTATGGCAATTATTTCTATTTCTTCTATGATGCGGAGACCTTCTCAAGGTCAAGTACATTATTTTTGTATTTCTGGCACCGAGTTATCTGGTTCCTGGCACACAGTGGGTACTTAATAAAGTTTTGCTGAATGAGAGCATTAATGATACAATAATGACTGTTGAAGGATTCTTCCATCTCCTTGTCCCCTGTTCCACCTTCTCTTTGCTCTAAAAAATGTTTAGCATTGACTCGATGTTTTGAATTTCTCAGAAATGATTTTCAGCTTCCTGAACAGCAGATATCCTACATCAGCAAAGTGTTTAAAATCATGCTTTGTTAATAGTGTTTTGTTTCACTAGCTGGGTGCACTTGGCGAATTACTTAACATGTCTGTGCTTTTCTCTTCCTCACTATCAAATGGAAACAATAATACCTATCTACCTAGTGGGATGGTTTTTAGCTTAAATACCTTCATAAGCATAAGGCATTTATGACAATGTCTAACACAGAGTAAATGTTGAAGCCACTATTAGTCCTTATCCTAACAAAAAATCCATTGAGATAATTTGTCATTAGAATGGATTGTATCTTCCTTCCCAAATAATTCATATTTTATTGATATCTCTCCAAACAGCATTAAAAGTAATTCTGATTGTTATAATTCACTAATTTGAGGTCCTTTATATTTCTGCTTTCTATGACATGGCCTATCTGTGTCTCTTCTGTTCACGATAAATCCCACTAGGATAGACAGAGATGCTTTCTAGGCATTTATCATGCTAGTTCATGGTGAAGATAAGGACTTTTTAATGGAAGCTTTAAACCCACAATTTTCTTTTATTAGTTTAGTACAATGATTAATATTCTCAAAATAAACAAAGGAGTAAAAGCCTAAGCATCTCTAACATAGACAGGCTTTTATTAGTGCCATATCAAAAGTCATTTAACTACTATGTGGTTAAAACTGTCTTATTTAAACCAGGTTATGTCATAACACTGTTGCAGAAAAGGCGAATAGTTCATATCGTACTGCATGTTCCGTCACTCACAATTAAACTCCACAATATAAAATTTCACTGTAAAGCTGTTTTCAACTCTCAGCTGGCCTAAGAACTGAAGTTCTGTATATGTGCAACTTGTCATTTATGAATGGGATTTGTTTCTAAAATGTGTAATTAAGCTCAATTGTTTGAAACTAGAAAGATGCTTTAATGTGCTTTAAGGAGTTAGGCGCATAGACTGGGTCACAAACAATTTGCCCATAAATTACCTCAAGAAACAATTCTATAGAATATTACTAATACATAACTGTAGTATGGGAAAATGCTTTCAGAAGTTAAAAATGAGATGCCAGGACGGTCTCACCCTCAACTCTGGACTATAATCTCCCCACTTCACTACTTCTTTTCCAGTCCAACTTCTGTACAGATGGAGGCAATCCTTCCTCATTCCAAGACTATAGTTGAAAGCTGAAACTTGAACCAGGTAGGCTTTAGAGTGACTCTGAAAAGGGGTTGTAACTTGAGAGGCAGGGAGAAAATGGGGTTAGCTCAGGGAAAACAGAGCTGAAATTTTCTTCTCTACAATACTTCGCAACTACTCCATTACCTCAGGAGCTTCCAAAGTTGGGGGCACACTCCCTGAGAGGTAGTTGAGGTGATGCATTGTAGTGTGTGGAATATATTAGACTCTCATATCATTTTGTTCTTGGAGATAAGAAATAAATGTAACCTTTTCGTATTTAAAATACAGACAGACTCACCCCCATCACGAAGGTCACTGTGGTCACGTGCAGCTTTGTAAGGTATGCTGAGGGAAGGGTAGGTGAGCTCTAACATGGAATATAGTGGATCCTTTATCACACATTTGCTTTCACTGTAATGTATCATGTTCCAGCTTCCAGTTTCCATACTCCTGTTAAGCAAGATAGCAATCCTATTATTCCATTGTAACTAAACAAATTCTCAGCAAGTGGAGATGTGTTTGTTTTCAAATGGACAGTGTGCAAAAGTAAACATAATATAAGCAAATGCTAACAAACCTTGGGAAAAATGACTCCTCTAGTTTTAGAATAAGTTTTAGAATAGGTTTTATTATACCTTTTAAAAACTAACATGATCTGATCCAATAAGAAGTCATACAAAAAAATTGAAAATGTAAAAGTTATTTGAAATCAGATATTTAAACTGTCCATCTGTTATGAATGATGACTTTCACCCGAGGTTTGTATCATGCCTTGATAGGTTAGCTAACAATGAAAGTACATGGATATAATTAAAAATGAATAGATAATTAGCAGGTTTATCTTCACATTTTATTTTTTAAACCGATTCACGTACATGATCAAAGTATTTTGAAACACTGGCCTAGACTTTCTGTCACCTCTTCCTTTTTCTTTAAGGACTTCCATTATTGGCCTTTTCCTCCTCCTTTCCTAGCTGTCTGTGGAGTTCTATCTAGTCTCATGAGCATTCTTTTAATTAAATAGCCATGTTTGGGCATCTTGTTTTTAACAGTTTGCTTTTGTCCTTGCTTGTATCAACTTATATTACTACAAGGGATTAAAAAAATAAAAGTGAGCCTTTAGATTTCTGAAGGACTAAAGCATTATTTCAAAAGGCGTGGTAGTGTTTAGTATATGGCTGGTACGAATTAGGAGAAAAGGTGATTGCTGAGAATTTGGATCCAAGGACTATGTTGTAGGGAAGCCACAAGAAGAACAAAATGTGGAGCTCTTCAAAGAGCTAATTCTCCCAGTGATAATACAATTCAGTGAAGTAGGACCTGAATTCAAAGGAAGCCAGGTAGCAGTTTCAGAGTATGGTTATATCCAGTTATATTTTACAGAGTGCTGACTGGAAGGAAGATGGATATACTAAATGGAAAACAGGGAAGGAAAGAAAGTCTCTAAAGCAACTTTGCTGTTTATCTGATACCAGATGAATTTGTGTTTGCCCATATAATGCATGGGCAAAGAAAATAAAGTGACTGGTCATCTAACTTAGTTTATGTCTTTATCTTATTTCATTGTTTTAAAGGCAGGACAAGTACAAATGTGAGTCATAGAGTTAAAATTTCAATAAGAATTAGCAGTGACTGAAGTTTCCAAAACCAGTTTCAGAGTTGCTGTATCAATGTAATGGAGATGAGAGCTATGTCAGAACATCCTTGTGAAAAAATAAATGTGATAGCA